TTCTAAATATATGTTCATCATTCAATATCATTCACAATTTACAGGTTTCGAAATATAAATTGAAATCAAAATCCGTATTCAATAAAGATTTAACAGTTCTAAATGAGAATCAAACAAACGGTATTATTTATTTACGAGAAGAGCATGCAACTTCCTTTGAAAACCTTGAAAACGCGTTAAATGTCCTCATGCTCTTACCTAAACTAAACATGTAGAATATCGCGAGCATATCAAGAGGTAAGTAGTATTCATATGACAAATACTTTTAATGATTGCATACAGTCCTTTATCTTTATCGCTCCTCTATCAGGTATTAAATATAAAACCAAACCGTTAAAGTAAATGTTTATCGCAGTGCTTATTACTTTTTATTCAGCTTTACACCTAAACCCATAGAGAGTGAACATTGTTATCGTTTTCTCAGTTATCAAATGGCCATTTAAAGCTATAAATCATGGTACGCTGATTAAACGATAGATAATATTATGTTAAATCCAAAAACCTAGCGTGTTAGATAAAAAAAAAACAGTATAACTGATTAACGGGAAAAACATGCGACTCTCTTTGAAAACTTCGGAAAACACATCAAATACCTTCATGCTCTTAAAGAGTAACTAAAACGCTTATAGCAAGTTATTTTCATTTTATAGTACTAAATAAACGTATAAAAACGCAAAAAAAAACGATGAATTTTGGTAAATTAGTTTTCGAGATTTTAGCAAAATACTGGCCGATCGCCATTTACACACCTGAACGATTTGTTAAAAAACTCGCCACTTATTCTAATATTACTACTCGCCGGAAGTGACGTACTGTGCGGTTCAGATCATGTACATAAATAGGTACAGGTCATATGCAAAGTGAAAGCAGATTCAGTTGATTGTTGATACGTTATTGGTGACAATTATCGATTGACAGTGCTTCTAATATATTCACCGACGCTTGTTTGATGAAACATTTTACTTAATTTAAATCTACAATTCAACAATGGGAAGGAATTGTGCAGTTGCGGGATGCAGCAACTCTGCAAAAACGGGACATACTCAACACGCTTTTCCAAAAGATGACCGACAACGTAACTTGTGGGTTCGTTTTGTAAAACTAACCCGTGTGGATTTTACTGTGCCAACTAAACACTCAGCCATATGTTCAGAACACTTCTGAGAAGAATGCTATGAGGTTGACAGGTTGAGATTCAAGGAGTTATTTGGTTTATCTGCTCATAACAGCAAGAGACTATTGCCAGGTTCAGTGCCAAGCATTTATCCCAAAAGGTCATCAGATGTTCTTAATGAGGGATTTCTTACTGAACCTAAGAAGAAGCTCAAAACTTCTAAAGCATTACAGAAAAGAGAGAAGGCCAGGGTAAGATTATTAAAAGTAATAGTAAAGAAGCAGAAAAGTGCCGCATATTTAAGTTAAGAACATATCAGCATTATAGTAACATTTATTTTTTTATCCACCCCTTTTCAATAAATAAGCACATTACTTAAACGCATGTCCATTGCATCTGTTGTACACTATCACTTATTATACATATAAAGTATATTAAATTTATAAAAAATAGTTGTGATATTATACAATGTATGCAAATCCACCTGAGACTTAGCAATGTATATGAATAAGTTTGACTTGGCATTACTATCATGAGTTTGAATACCTAGAGATTTCAGAAGTAATATAAAGCGTCATAATTCTTTGCGTTAAACAGCTGATGTGCATTTGGTGCCATAATAGAATTATAAAAGTTTAATTGAATAAAGACTTAAACTACATGTATGTTTGCTCACTTTTATTACATTGTGTCTTGGATGGAGGATTGTGATTTATATTTTGCCTAAATTTGCTCATATATATATAAGAGGACTTTAACTTGCGATTTTAATATATATAATTTTATATATTTCTACTTGTGTGAAAAATGGGCAACCAGCATGACCAGTATACATGGTATAGTGACGGTCTGCATCAAAATACTTCTGAAAAAATAATTCTAACATGTCTAATCTTATTTGTTTTTATATACCATGTATATGTCTTTATATATACATCAATTTTATGTGTATATATGCACATGTTTGAAAATGTATGCATTATTATAATGTCATTGTGAGAATAAGCCTACATTAAGCCTATGCAGCCTCTCCTGTTGGATCCAAATTTTTTATGTATAACTATATTGTACCTTTACATCATTAATAGGGTATTTTTAAGGGTATTTTTAGAGTTATTGTGTTTGATTTTCACCCCTTCTTTTCAAACCACCACAATTACCAACATCCTGAACATAGGGCTATTTAAAAATGTTATTAATGGAGTAAGTAGAAGGTACATGTAAGGCGGCTTATATCAAATGCAGAGATGTAGCCAACAAGTTAACATAAGTTGTGGTACAGTAAGAGGCTATTATAGCCAAATGTGTAGCTCCATAAAAAGTTATTCTGGTCTTATGTCCCTCTGAATTTTGTTCTCTTTCTATGAGCATAAAAGTTATACATTTGTAACCATAATAATTTCAAATATTAAGAGTCTCCTGACTATGGTAAAATAATACAATATAGAACAATACATGTACTTCCATGATATAACTATCTCTCTATTTATATAACATTTTTCATGATCATAATCCTGATAATGCAGAAATTAATTTGGGTAAAAATGTAGCTTTTTTTTTAAAGACATTCTATTTCATTAGGCAATGTAAAGCAAAAGCAAAGTTTGAATGTCTAATTATTTATTAAAAGAATATGTATTTATTTATTCATTATTTAAAAAAAAAAAAATATATGACACTTCAAATCGTGCAAGAAATTTTATTTTCCCCCTCAATAGTATTAAACACCTGTGAAAATTAAAACTAGTTCATGATATAAAACAAATTAGTAAACATGTGGATGGATATTTATCACCTTTAATCCTGGTAATTAAAACAGTTAAAGTTTTAGCACCTATTAATTAACATCCTGTTATCAAGTAATAAAGATCAAACAGAAGTTTTAATCCCTCCAATCAGGTAAATAACAACTTGGCAATACACCTACCACCTGTGGAGTAATTCAATATAACAAAGTCATTAGAAAGGTGTTATGAAAACCAGTTTTGACTGATATTATAATTCAAATTACACAAAGAGCATAAAGTCCCATAACCAATATTAACTAAGTTATAACTCTACAAATGTGGGAATTATTTTATAAGTTGAATAATTTTGTTTTTATTAAAATCCATCAAAATCTTTTATTATAGTTTTAGATATACAGTGCAGTTTCTCCAATGATTCTCTACATATTTTTTTTTATTACAACAAGGATTGTAAGAAATTACTTATCCCTCTCTAATTATATGTCTCTGATTAAACTAAGAAATTTATTATATTTTTATAAGAAAATTCTGAAATTTTATGAATCTGTCAATTGAATAGAAAAAAAACACATTACAATTCTACATCAAAATCTATATTACTATTCAGTAACTTATATCACTATTTGTAAAACATATGTTTTAAAACTATCAATTAATATTGTGTCTTATATTTGCTTGTTTAAAAAAATAGTGTTTGCTTTTTATTCCTAAAAGATGGTCTTCCATTTGTATTTATGTTATACACACCTTTCAAAATATCTATAATTTCATTTTCATTCTTTTTATATATATATGTATATGGGGGCATTTATTGAAATTTATTGGCTATATTATTATAGTTATTACCAGAATTCCCCATTTCTAGAATTAAATTATTATTTCAAATTGGTAAGCACTGATAATTCTAAAATTTCAACATTCTCTTTTTTTAAAGACATAGCAAAAGTATAGTTTCCCAAAAATCTAATGGCTTATCACTACATAAACAATAAACTTATTTATTTAAACCTAATTTGTTGATGCCTTATGTGTTCAAGAACATGAAGAGGATTAAAGGTAAGTAAGTAAGTAATTGTAGCCATAAGTAATAAATGTGACATATGAACTAGATTTTCATTATCTATCCTTTTTTTTTAGGTACTTCAGGAACTATTATATAATACACCAACCGAAGAGAGTAAAGACCCTAAAGAGACGGTACGTCTAAACACAGCTAAGGACTCTAATATGAAACTATGGACTAGAAGGGGTGCTGTTAAACAAACATTTTTTTATATATTTGGTAGAAATTAATTTTTAATACACAAATTGCAAATTTTATAAAAATGAACAATGTTTAGGCACCCGCCAGTCTTTCTTTGATATTGCAGGAAAACAGTGAACCGATTGACACAAGTCACGAGCCAATTTACATAACAACTAATTAACAATCATAATCTTAATATTTAAGTAATTAATAATTATAAAGACTAGTGCTAAATATGTACAATCAAATGTATTGTTCTTATTTACAAATCATTTTTTGCTTCTGTTTCTTTCCGATAAAGTTATTTGTCATAGGTGCATGGCTTTGATGAGCGTCAACTATTGTTAAAATGTTAAGTAAATGCAACATATGAACTTGATTTTAATTTTATTTCCTTGTTTTCAGATACTTCAGGAAGTGTCATATAATACACCAACTGAAGATAGTAAAGACCCTAAAGAGACAGTTGATCAGGTTGCTGTGCTTATCCACATTGGCACATGCCCATCTCCAGACCCTTGTGATGATGGACCAGAGTCAAACATACATGTACTAATGAATGTTGATCCATCTCCAATAAATTTCAACAATGATAACAGTTATTGTATCAGAACTACTCAAACAGAAGTTGAAATGGTTTGTATATCATTTACAATACTAACTTATGCAGTGTTTTTGTTCAGTTATAATGTTATCAATACACAGGGCTTTATTCCTGTTAATCATCTTGACAGTTGATAGAGGGTCTTCAACAATGAACAAATCATTCATTCCCTACAACTAGGTCAAGACGGATCCTAGTGTCGAATATAGCTGTACTATTGATAGTTGTCTTTTCCTGGTTTGTTCATACTCTAAATAATTACAATTTTTTTTTAGGTCAACATTAGTAATTCCCAGAAAGATGCAGATAATCAAACACCAATAGTAGCAACTAAAAAGAAGTACAGATCTGCCAGGATTCAAGCTCGTCCAAAACAAAAGAGAAATGTAAGTATACTTTCAGCTCTTGCATTTTAAGGCTATGTTTGCAACCTTTGAATGTTACTTTTCATTTAAATGGATCGAAGACCTACAAAAATGTTAACTATGACCTTTCACATTTGACAAGAAGTGATTTGGTGATCAAACACATATATTGAATGGAACCTTGGGATATAAGGGGGTACCCTACTGGAGCCCTTTCAGTGATTCTATAGAGGTATAATATAATCGGGAACACAGTTCTCTGTTTCGTGTTTTAATTGTAAGTTAATACATTTGAATAACAACTGCCCATTGCAATTTAAATGCATAGTATTATTGAAAGCTGAAAGAAGTTTATTTGGCCCCTGACAAAATATAAAAAAAGAAGATATGGTACGAGTGCTAATGAGACAATTTTCTATTCAAGACACAATGTAGTTAAGGTAAGCAAGTATAGGTAAGTTAACTTTACATAGGTAAAGGTGTAAAAAATGCATATTTTCCATTCAGGTTTTCAAGCAGATTTTCAACCTAGGCAACGTAGTTTTGGAATTCAGTGTAACCTCCTGCCAACACCAGTTGAACCACAGCATGAGAACAATACAGTAGAAAGGCATCAAGAACATAATGATAGTGACCACATGGAGCATGAGGATCCTGTTATACCAGATGACACCAATGATCCTGTTATACCAGTTGACACCAATGATCCATCATACGAACCGTCTTTAAATGATTCTTCAGACAGTGGTGGAAGTGATAATTCTCATAATGAGTAAGTCTTTTAAACAGAAAAAAATCACAGAAATATTTAAGGATGATAGACTGTAAAAAAAATTATAAAATGTGGACTTTTGATGTGCTCACTCACATCTTAAACCTATTTTTTTTTGACGATATAATTTAATGTATACATGGTGTTGAATATGCATTGTGTAGTGATTACAAACCCCAAAATTGTTCGACAAACATGAATTTATAAGTCACCTGACTGAGAGACCAAATAACAATCATTTATTACTGTAAATTCAGAAATTATTGGGTGCATTTTTTATTGCGATTTTGTCATTTTAGACTAAAATGCAATTTTAATGATTGCGATATTGAGAACAATCCTGTTAAATTCATATAAAAATTTCTAAATGCGATTTATAGATTTTTGCGATTATAAACCTTTTGCATTGTTCGCAATAATTTCTGAATTTAAAGTATATTTGTATAATTTTCCACCTATCCGGTTTCAGTAACTAACGTTTATCTTATACTTTATTCTCACAGATTAGAAACACATCTTCAAGAAAAGAAGTTCATAGTATGTGAAGAGCAGCTAATGGACTTATTCAAGATTTGCCCTAAATGTTGTGGTTCTGCCAACGCATCCATTGCTCAAACAGTGGGGACTCTAATTAAAGTTAATGTTACATGTGAACTTTGTCATCATATTTATTCATGGTACAGTCAGCCATTTGTGGGATCCGTTCCAGCTGGTAATTTAGCAGTTTCAAGTGCAATTTTATATTCAGGTGCATTACCAACAAAAGTGCTACGTTTAATGAACTTCATGAACATTCCAACAATTTCTCATCAAACATTCTTCAATCATCAGAGACATATTTTATATCCAGCTGTTTTAAGGTTCTGGAAGCACCAACAGTCGCAACACATAGCCAGATACAGAGACGCTACAGAGTCCTTAGTACTTGGTGGTGATGGTAGAGCTGATACCCCAGGTCATTCAGCCAAGTATGGGTCATACTCAATGATGGACCTGAAACAAGGTGTTGTAAAAGACATCCAACTGGTTCAGGTATGATATTTTATAACCAATTTAAATGTATAACAGGTACCTACCCCATCAATACCAAAGATATGGTACATTAATTGGTTTCCATACCCAGAATTGTTTTAATGATTACACTGTTAAACTTTATTTGAAGGAATTTGATCATTTAGACTAAAGTGAATTATAATTGCTTCTAAGACACGGCACATATTTGAGACGGTCAAGTAACAAGTAAAAAAAAATGCATATTCATTAGAAAAGACAAACAAAACAGTCATGACAGTGCTTGATTATGATTTAATGCGGTTCTGCATTATGCATGTATGGATATAAGTATCTTGCTGTGATTATTTTCAAGTATGCAATGAGAGACAAACATATTAAAATTCTTTTAACTTATTGTAATATATATATTAGCATGATTAATATATAGATTTTTTTCTTGTAGAGTAATGAGGTGAGTTCAAGCAATGCGATGGAGAAAGAAGGGTTGATACGCTCATTAAAATGGTTCGAAGACAACAACCTGCAAGTCCAAACCTTTATAACTGACCAGCATGTCCAGATTGTAAAATATGTGAGAGAACAGACACCACACATCACTCACTACTTTGATGTCTGGCATGTTGCAAAAGGTTTGTTTAGATTTAAAAATCGAATGATATTAATAAGATCTGGTATGATTGCCTATGATACAACTATCCACCAGACCAAATTTAGTTGATGTTTGGCTAAGACAATTATTGGTTACATAAAGCCATCTACAATGATCTTTAGCACACACCAATTAGAATCTTTTAATAATACCATAAATAAGTCTTTTGAACAAATTCAATTCAAACAAGGAAACCAACAGACTGATAAATAAAAAAAACTGTATGCATGATCTTTGTATTATTTAAAAAATTAACAATGATGTTTTTTTTTTATATTTAATTATAGATAAATCTCTTAGTTGATTTATTGTTCCCATGATGTAGCTATTTAGACATAGATGAATTATTCACTTTTGCTTTATAATGGTAAAATCCTTATGCTTACAGGTTTAAAGAAAAAATTGGTAAAGATCAGCAAGGAGAAAGACTGTACACAAGTTGGAGAATGGATCAAAAGCATCACCAACCATATGTACTGGGTTGCAGCATCCACTCCAAATGGTGACAGTGAAGAAATGGTATCAAAATGGTTATCTGTTGCTAACCATGTGCAAAACAAGCACAGAGGACATTCTGACCAAGTTGCAAACTGTTTGCACAGTGAACTAGTTGGCCAAGACAGGAAAAAGAAATGGTTAAAACCAGGTGAGATAATAGTGTTTAGTTGTAAATCCTGTCAAGATATAAAAAATAAAATTGACATGTATTTTTTTATAATTTAATTGAAATAGGAAAAGGTTTTATACTTTTTAAAAAAAAAAAAAAAATAAAAACTGGATGTTTGTTAAACCTGAATGTCTTATCAACCCAGTGATTTCAGCTCTCTATCAGATACAAGATGAATGACAGTAACCGGTACATGTATGATCCTTAGGTAATAATCCCATTAAAATTACAGCAAAAAATTTCTCAATTATAACATGAAAAACTACATTTGACATGTGTACAAAAAATTAAAATGATATAATAATTTTAAACTATTGTTTTGATGATCAATGATTTAAGTACAAGCCACAGCTCTTATAACAAAAAAAGGGGGGGGGGACAAAATAAAATTTCTTTCTTTATAGTATTTTACTTTTACTAATTTTTATTTCAGGAACCAAAGCTTGTGTTAAGACGGAAGAGCTGTTGACAGCCACAGGACTAAAAACATCCGTTAAAAAGCTGTCACCTCTTCACCAGACTTCAGATGTTGAAGCCTTTCATTCAACCATAAACCACTTCGCACCAAAGATGGTTGGTTACTCCTTTCATGGGATGCACTGCAGGTAAAAAAGTTAAGAATTCAATAAGGATTTGTTAACTTATAGAAGTTAAATAAAGCACACTACTTCAGATAATTTTCTCATGGAGAGGGACATAAAACACTTAATTTTACACCATGTCAGTTATTTTTAAAACATTTGTTCAATAATGTTAAATGAGTCTCAAAGCCTGGTATTAAACCAAATCTTGTACCCCTTGTTACTTCTTATATCAAACGTTGAAATTTATTTTCTTATATTGCAGACTGCTTCTTGCTGCACTGCATTTCAACGAGAACTCAAGCAGACCACAAGCAGTTACAAAAGATGGAGTAGCAAGATATAGCATACACTTTCCAAAGTACAAGAGTGGCGGCTATATCACAAGAAAAAAAAGATCAATCAGTCATTCCGTAAGTTTTCAATTTGAGATGTTATAGAAAAATTGTATGACAATCCACAAATTTAATACTGCTATCTAACCAGCATTCTTCCTGAGAAGATGACCGCAAATCTTTTTTAAGTGTTTAATTCATAGTAGGAAAAATTAATACGTGTCAGACATATATATTGCTTAAAACCATTCTATTCTTCAGACTGTGTATTGTACATGTATCCTAGATGTGTCTATTGGAAATTCTTTTTTTCTTTTTGTCATTGGGTTGCTGACTTAGTGACCTATATTTCATTTCTGTGAAAAAATATTTAAAACATTAATTTTATTGTATGTTTTAATTTGATAATTTAACACATATGCACTTGTATATTGTGATAATTCTTTCTGAACCATATTTTTATTAAGTAGCCAATAATACTTTATTATCTTTCAGGATACGTTAACACACTGATGAGATCTGTTGGGAAAATTGTTGATGTAACAACTATTCGCAATTCATCAGATGTACCAATGCCAACACCAAGACCACTGTGTGCAGCTTTCACACGACCACAGAAAACTGATGCCATACAAGCTATGAAATCAAGATTCAGGAAGGCAGAAATGTAGACAATATTGTTAATAAAGATATAAGTGCTAAAAAAATTTATATGACATTTAATGGTTGTAATAAATAATGAATAATTTGTACATATTAATTGTTGTAAATCATGTAAATAGTCTATGAATGTTTATGCTTCTTCAAAACCTTTGTATTGGTTTGACGGGAACTTGTTCCTTATTGCATGGGTGGCACAAGCTGGGAGATGAACACGTACAGACTTTCCAAGGTAGCCCCAACACCATCTTGCTAACTGACGATAGGCTGTATACCGGTTTCTCCTTAAAAAAAAGCAATAATCATAACTTTTTTTATAAAGAAAATCTGATTTATTATTTCTCACAGCTATTTCTCACTTTGTTTTTTAGACAACTATTTAATTATTCATCAAACACATGTTTTTATGTGATTTTATTTTTTGGATATTTTTTTTTTCATATGTTGATCTGTTAAACATGGTTTAATAACATTTAAATTATAATTGCACATTTCATAAAATATGTTTTGTTTGATTGCTTCTACATCTTTGTTTAGCACATGTCTGCCCGTTCATGCCATAATGTATAGATGTTTTTTGTATGTAATAAAAGTTATTAATACATTGATAAAGAAAATAAAAGTGCTAATAAATTATAAGTAACTTACTCTTCTGTTGTTACTTGTATTTCTCCATACTGCTGTCTGTATTGGAAGTATGCAGTTTCCAGAACATACTGGTTAAGGCACACTGGTTCAAATCCAGGATGCTCTGTTATGCATGATACTGGTGTGGGTAGCTCCTCCATTTTTTCAGTAACTCTGCTTAATTCTTGGCAGCAAATGCATTCCTCTGCTTTTGGCATAGACTCACAGTTCCACAGTCACACCTGAAAGTTCAATTTTCAAATTTGAGAAACGGAAAGCACATGCGGTATGAAAACAGTACTGATACGATAAATTAAAAAAGCAAAAAAGGGTATGCACAACCAGCAATTACCAGTTTCTATACTTTTTGGTAAGAAATTTTTGAACGGTAAAAAATGCTTCAATTTAGGAGGATAAATATACCAAAAGACTAGATGACAAATAATTTTACAGAGTAAAGACTTATACAGTGACACATGTGTTTTTCAGTAATGCTCATCTGCCCAACGAAGAATATAAATTATTAAAGTTTTAGCCAGTCAAAATATTGAAGGCCGTCTCAGAAAAAGTCTGATAAAACAATTCAAATTGCTGTCAAAAACGCCATGCTTTTTTGACAAATGAGACCTTATACCTACAAATTAATGTACATAGCGTTTTAAGTGAAAGCTGTTTGCTCAATATATAAATAACATGTTATTTGTCAATCTAAATAAAGCACACAAAAAAGAAATGAAAATAAAGCAACAAAAAGAGGCGAAAAAACACATATACAGTATTTTTTAAGTTAAAATATGACTGAACTTGGACTAAGGTGAAAATTTATTATATACCCTTTTTTTATTCATTTTCACTCATATCTTGCTTAGTTGCTATAATCTCGGGTATTTTTGTAGCAAGTCTTAGCCAATAATCTTTTACAAATTATATTGTACAAATATGCACTTACCAGTTTGTATTTCCTAATCTATGTTCCATATCGATGTCCCCATCCAGTGATGCAAATTCTCTACCATCGTCGCTGTTACCATCAGAAAGTTCTGGCTCAAACTGATATGGTTGAATATCTTCTTCTGCAACAATTGGACGGTCAACTTCTTCAATGCTATCAAATGATGAGCTTTGAAATGACAGCGATAAATCACTAGCATTGCTGTTTTCGTCCATAATATATTCCTTCTGGTCAATGTAAACAAGTTCAAGAGTAGCCCGCACTGTACGTCATTTCCGGTCAACCGGGGTCACTCAGCGAGGAAACCCTGTTTCCGGAAATAGCGCTGATTGGATTTCCCACAGGTAAAAATAATCCAACTTCACTCGCTATTTTCTCCGTTATTAATTGACCAAATTTCATCGGGTTTTTTGCGTTTTTATACGTTTATTTAGTACTATATAATGAAAATAACTTGCTATAAGCGTTTTAGTTACTCTTTAACAGAACCAAATAAATATCATGGGCACATAAATAGTAAAGGTTGAAACTTTGCAAGGACATATAGTTTTCATATGATAAATACTTTAAATGACTGCATATCAGGGGTGGATGCGAAAATGTTTATTCTATTTAATGCCACAATTCATATAAATCGTGCAAAACATGATCTTTTAAACTAATTTTATTTGTGCCAAATACATGTACAGCTAAGACAACGTATGTTTGGGGTAAAAAAAAACCTTAGTTTTTCGAATAATTCAACATTTTATTAACAGTAAATTAACAGAAAATGAACATATCAATGATATTTTATGTCAACTAACATCTGTACTATTTTTTGTCTGTTTGTCTTTTTATTTTTGGCCATGGCGTTGTCAGTTCGTTTTCGATCTATGAGTTTGACTGTCCCTCTGGTATCTTTCATCCCTCTTTTTTAATAGAAAATGAACATATCAATGATATTTTATAAAAACTAAAAACTGGCCTAGTGAATTTCCCGGTGACAAAATGTCCACCAGCAGTGACATTGACTCATTGGTCGACAAAATTGGTAGGTAAATCAAATACGAAGTTGAAGACTATCTTAAGAGCCAATCCGCCAGAAAACCATGCAATATTCAGAAAATCGTCCAAATCGACAATCACAACTTGACAAATTTTTATACATCATCTTAATCCTTGACATAAAATAAAAGAATTTGACCACTTAATTTTTCCCAGAATCGTATCTATTTTTAGCAACAGCCTCATTTGCATAATTCTGTAAATTCATAATGAAACCAAGGAAAAATCCAACTTTTTTATGCCTTTTAAGAATGACCCAGAAGCATATTAAATGGGGTAGTTGAGTTTTTAGAGTAATGTCAGCTGAAATTCATCCATTTTACTATGTTATGATCAATACAAATGAAAATTTAAACGATTTGGCACATTGCCAGGAGCAGGGACACAAAGGCGGGGTTTTTCATACATGAATTTACGTGGTTTTCATTCGCTTCTATCTTGCAAGACCCATTCCGGATTTGTTTGCAACTTATATCGGTTTTAACTATGGGGTATGTTTTATATCAAAACAAAATATTAAGCTTGGCAAATGACTATTATATGTTAATTTATGCCTTGGAAGAATGGTGATTTTAGTCCCAAATTGACACATTTTGATTTTGATTTTAATTAAATTCTAAACACAATTGGTACTAAAATGGCTCATAAAATCATTCGAACAAGTAAAATCAATTTGCCTGAAAAATGAAATAAGACGTATTTGTACTGCAAGTCCAAAAATCAATAAATTGTCTGAAACCAGGGAGTCCATCTTTTATGCTCTTCCATTGACTTATCTCCCTTGGGTAAGATCTCAAACATGTCAGCTCCCAGTGATGGTTTGGCAGACAAATGTTTACAGTGAAGTTTGTGACTTTAAAATTCTAGGATGAGCATGTGGGCTATCCCAGTCTTATACATTTACATATTACAAACTATTTAAGATATCTGAATGCACTAAAGACCAAAATAGCATTTCCAAAAAAAATAATTAAAATGTACTGCCAAGAAATTTGACAATCATGACAATAATTTAGTGAATAAACATGATAAATATTGATTGGAAAAATAATTCCATGAACAGCAAAAAGTGTTTTTAGATTTCAACGAGCAAAACAAAAGTATTCTAAATCATTCTTCGTAAAAAAAAAAGGTGAGTGAGTGGAACCACCTTGCTCGCACCAAAATTGAGATTGAGAGTGTCAAAACTGCTCTGGCGCACCATCAATAAATCAACGACACTCTCTCTACCGTGGTATTGAAACCAGCATTGGTAACCAAACATATTCATACAGATACAGACTACCATTCATCTACATTTAGGAAGTCTGAATAATACTGAAAACTATGGTGTAGAATTTCCAACAGGACTCCTTATTTTATATAAGACAAGGAGTGGTTTATTTTCCCATGGTTGTTACATCATCTTGTCTTTGAATATGCTTGAAGTACAGGGACTTTTAGGGAATTCATTGACATGATAGTCAAGCAAGATGTCAACATCTCGTCCAACCCTCTTCCAGCAAAGCCAAAGCTGACCAAGGATCTTCACCCTTTCAAAACAGGCTGTATACAGGACGAGTTATTCCAGTAGGAACAGGTACAAATCTTACAATCAATTTCCATTTGTTCCATATAGTCAATCTGAAATTAGGGGACCAACAATTGATACATTAGCTAGATTAAAAAAAAGGGGGGGGGGGGGTGGGTGTTGAAGGGGCATGTGAATATTCTTTTACACCTGACCTGTTTCTAAGACATCTTATTTATTTCCTATGGCAAAGTGCAAGCAAATAATTTATATCTGTATATACATTGTTCTGTCTTGGGACCATTTGATTAAAAAAGCAAGGGGGAGGGTTAGAATGGTCAAAATATTTATGTCCTTGTCAGCTTAGGACATAATTTTAATTTTCAAGCTATTAACCAGGGTACAATATATATTTATTTTCTGCTTTAAAAAATCAATTTATAGACCAGAATCATGATAATAATCAAAATCTATTTCAACATATTCAACGTTTAGCAGGTCAGGTTTTTATTCTCTTCCCCTAAGTTATATTTTCAGTTCTTACTGGAAGTTGTTCAGCTCTTTATCTACTAAAAAAACTTTTATCTCGTGGAAAAGCCTCCTACAAATACATGTTTTACATACAACAAACTGTACATGTAACACTAGACAACTTTATCCAGAGAAAAATATTTTTTTAATGAACTAATAGGCCATGGAGACTAAAAAAATCAAAAGCATTGCAAACTTTTGTAAAGTTCAATTTTAGGACCCTACATGTACATGTACATGTATGTAGATTACTTATAGAGCCCTTTTTAAAAGAAAAAACATACATTTAAACTACATGCACAGTGATGCTACACTACCCTACATTTCCTGTCTGATATATTTTATTTCATGTAAAACAAAATTGAAGAATTATTTTATAGTTTAACACTTTTTATTTGTAGGGCTATATATATGCAAGCAATGCTCAATTAAGATGAATTTTTGTAAAAGTGACAATAGCCAGGTCAAACTAAATACATGTATAGAAGAAGATATTGGTAAGTTATTATTAACTTATATATTAATTTAACTGTTTGTATAACATGGTAATCATACAAAGTATATGTAATCACTTATATAATAACATAATTATACAATTACATGTTATACATTTGTACATCCGTTTTATTAAACAGGTCTTTGTTAACTTGGTTTTCCCATTGAAAAATCACTTTGCTAATTTTAATTTGTAGTACTATATTGGGCGGCTCCTATAGTTTCCATTCAATAACTAACAATGACGAACTGTTCATACATTCCATTTCAATTATTTTATTTATTAATACGTATTACTTTTACTGTTAAGTCTGTTTTTTGTGATATCCATTTTACGTGACTCTGTATTTTGTATCCCGTCATACGTTGAACGACAAAATTATTTTATGTCTACCTGTGCGAATTTCAAACGCGCGATTTTACGCCAGTACTTAAAACCTTCCATCCTTTATGGGTGGATTTTACATAGATATATAAAATCGTATAATATAAGCAAAATGAGGATGTTAAATTTGATGTATGCCTTTTTGTGCTTCTTCGTTACATTTGTTTGCTTTTGTAGTGATTAAGATGATAACACAATGTTGACTGCTGTACCCCTATTTTTGACAATTTTACCTATTGTGTCTGTTTGTTTTGTTCACGCATCGTTGTCAATATAATGGAATTTGATGCGACTGTCATACAAGTGAGAGGTTTATTATCTAGCTATAAAACCAGGTTCAATCCACCATTTTCTACATAAGAAAATGCCTGTACCAAGTCAGGAATATGACAGTTGTTATCCATTCGTTTGATGTGTTTGAACTTTTGATTTTGCCATTTGATTGGGGACTTTCCTTTTTGAATTTTCCTCTGAGTTCAGTATTTTTGTGATTTTACTTTTTCAAATATAAAAGGGGGAGATTTTTATTGGTACTTTTGAAGATATTTCACCTGTTCGATTAATTGATTGGTTGTTGGTAATGCTAATGTCCAATGGCAAATAGTTCATGCATGTTTAGGACAAGAACAAATTAAAATAAATACATTATTTGGATTCTTAATATGCTAAATCTAACAATGTATTTAAATAATTTATGATGTTGCAATTGGGACCCATTTTAAATTGGTTCACATTGATTTCAAAATGGTCCAAATTTTTTTTTCTTATTTCTACACAACTTGAATTCTTGAGGTTCTTTTGATATACAAAATGCAAATGTTTTATATTTAGATTTTTATTTTTGGTCCGGTTTTCAAATTTGTCCACATTTTAAAGTCCAAAGGGTCCAAATTTTAACTTAGTTTAATTTTAACAAAACTTGAACTCTAATTACAATGAATTAGGGTTCTTTGAATGATAAATAGAAATAATCAAATATCCTGAATATAAATATGTACTTAGATTTATGATTTTGGTCCCAGTTTTCAAGTTGGTTCAAATGGGGTCCATAATTTTACTGTGTTTGATTTCAACAATAATTTTAAAGATGCTGATTCAGCCTGAATTTAACCTGTATTTAGTTTTTGGGCCCTATTTTGAAAATGGTTTACATTGAGGTCCAAAGGGTCCAAAATTAAACTAAATTTTAAATCTTAATTTGATCTTGGGGTTCTCTGATATGCTGAATCTATTAAACTTTATCTTTATACCATATTTATTCTGTGTTAGAAACCTATTCTTAGTCAAATATTTAATCCCATTACAAATTTAGAGCTGTTATACATTGTGTAGCTTGAATGTTCTGTCCAAACTTGCATTTTTTCTTCATCTTCCACAAAATTTGTCCTTTTCTGAGATAACTGGTGTTATCTTTTTAAATGAAACTTTAGTGAAAACAAAGCACAATATGTGGATGATTATCCGATGTCAAACATTTTCAAAATGGCCACCAAGGATGGCACAAATTTCAACACTGGTTAATTTAATGAAAATTGTTAATTAGGGATAGTCGTGGTAGTTTGACTTGCTAAACAAAGTAAGGTTGTTTTTTCTTCCAAAATGGCAAACATTTTCAAGATGGCCTTATATGAAAATTGACATTAAGGAATTATAGCACTTTTGACATGCCAACAAAACAATGAAATTTTTTTTTAAAGATGGACACAGCAAATAAAGGGTAAAATTTTCAATTTTGTTGAGTTTGATTTTAAAGAATATTGATATTTAGCTGTACTTTGACACAGAGAACAGATATAAAGATGGCCACCATTTCAAAGATTGTCACTAAAAGCGGTCAAATTATCACCATTGTCTGTTTTCAATGTAAAATTATATTGAGAGGTAATTTGACATGCCAAACGAAATGGACGCAATTTTTATTATTGTAAGGATGTTAAGGGCTATTTGGACATGCTTAAAAGGAGTGGATAATAACTATTCTGCAAAAATGATTTGGCTTTAGTTGGGAGAATTTTGTAATTGCATCCACTTACAGTAAAAGTTGTCAATTTTATTTCCTGTCAGTGGTATATATGAAATTAAAAAAAAATGTGGTATGATTGCCAATGAGAACAAATGACATAGAAGTAAAGCTATAGGTCTTCATACGCCATATGGCCTTCAACAATGAGCAAGACCTATACTGGTCTGAGTACACAGTTATCGTCCTTTGATTTTCGTTGTCCACAAATATAGTCCCTAGTGTGGACAGTGTGTTACTTGCCAATGTTTTTTATACCCCTTCTAAATTTATTTCTCCATGTTTTATGCCTCAAATAACAAGAAGGGGGATGAAATTACACTGTAAAAAAATTTGGGTCATGAATTTTAAAGTAAAGTAGTGATTTGGTCCAGCTGAAAAAGGTTAAAAATAAGCACTTCGGAAGCTGTCAAAAGATTTCAAGACCCCCTTAACATAAAATTGTCCATATTTTGAGTTAGAGCCGATGAAGTTTTCTATAATTTTGATATAATTTGTCCCAAAAGTAGTACAACACACTGTGAAAATATTATTGAGAAAGCGCAAGTGGGATTTTTTAAATTTTCATTTATTGCCTAAAGGAAATGCACTACGAAATAACTGTGTACTCGGACCTAAGAGGTAGAATCAGGAAATATAGAATCTGTACTTTGGCAACTTCCCTGAATGATTTGATGGTGTCAATTTGTCAAATAGCATGAAACTAAAGGATTTAAACTTTTATTTGATAGAATTTCTGCAAAAATGACCAATTTTGGCATTATATGGTCAAAATAAGCATTTCATAGCTTTTTCAATTTTGATGCATAAGTGGCATTCTGACTTTCTATCTGACAGGTTTTCATGTGTCAATATTTGTGTTTCTATGCTTTAATCCAGTTGTATTACTCATTTGTGAACTCTGAGTCTACAGAAAAGAAGATATCTCAGACAATATGTGCAAAATGTTTTGTATAAATGATCCTCGTCTAACGCCCTGTTTGGATCAAGTTAAATGTGAGGAGCTTGGTACATAAAAGTTGAAGTCCATAATAAAGACCTCATCAAATTTGTATAAAAAGCACTGAACAATGTCTTTTGTACTGTTTCATTTCACATAATATCTTTCTTTTCTTCTGTGGGATAGCAAGTGGTTCAAATATAAGCCTGTTGAGACTAAAATTGCCTGCAAGTTTTTCACTAAAAAGTGAAAAATCTTTGTATCAGACCATACTGTCTGCAAAAAAAGTTGAATGCAAGAGTCTTTTTGTGCTCAGATTTATTGTATCATGTCACCTGAGTATAGAAATGATAGAAAAGACACACATTTTTATTTCCTATAGCTTCAATATGCATTTTTAAATGTAAATATGTGCTACGGCCTAAATTGACCCCAAATTATTTTCAGTCTTACTTGGCCTAAGACCCTTTTAAACTAATATGATATGTTATTTGTAAGTTTTCTTTCCATTTAAAGTACATTAAATACATATGTAAGGATTATTTATAACCAAAAAGCTTCACAAATTTAAAATTGCTGGAAAATATTACATCTTCATTAAAGGCCCCCCTTCATTGGAAAACCTACATTTTTAGGCACAGGCTCATATAAATTTGACTTTTGAATAATTATGCTAAGTCTGATATATCAAATGAGTACTCTATTGCTTTTAATACATAATATATTATATATTAAGGCATTTTAAAAGTATTATTTTGCAATATTTTAATTTTATAAGCCCCAAATGTTGATAGTTGATTTTTTTCAATTTTAACGTCAAAATTTAACACGCAAAGTTGAATATAGAATTTATCATATTGTCTATAATATATATCTTATTGCCATGAAACTTTGTACGCAGTCTCATAATTTATTAAGCTTTGGTCATACCAAGTTTTATTAAGATTGGTCAACTTTTTCTATCCTATTAGGTCCGAGTACACAGTTATCGTCCTTTGATTTTCGTTGTCCACAAATATAGTCCCTAGTGTGGACAGTGTGTTACTTGCCAATGTTTTTTATACCCCTTCCAAATTTATTTCTCCATGTTTTATGCCTCAAATAACAAATAGGGGGATGAAATTACACTGTAAAAAAATTTGGGTCATGAATTTTTAAGTAAAGTAGTGATTTGGTCCAGCTGAAAAAGGTTAAAAATAAGCACTTCGGAAGCTGTCAAAAGATTTCAAGACCCCCTTAACATAAAATTGTCCATATTTTGAGTTAGAGCCGATGAAGTTTTCTATAATTTTGATATAATTTGTCCCAAAAGTAGTACAACACACTGTAAAAATATTATTGAGAAAGCGCAAGTGGGATTTTTTTAATTTTCATTTATTGTCTAAAGGAAATGCACTACGAAATAACTGTGTACTCGGACCTACTGCATATATATTCAGCCATAAAAGGCCCCAAAATAAGAAAATGAAAAAATATGAAAACTAACAGCCTGATTTATGTATGTATGTTTTCTGGTTTTCAGATCTAGACTCGCATCTAACCTTTCTGTCAGTGTCAACAACAACTGAACTTTCACAGCAGTCAACATCAGATTGGGAGACTGATAATGCTTCTAACAGAAACAATTTCAACCAACCAAACAAGCAACAGAAACTTTCCAACTTTAAAACATCAGTTAAATCTTCCATGGGATGATGTCTCAAAAAATAACAGTTCATCATTTATGGAGATTTTAATGTTATGGTTTTTCTTTTACAAGAAAGTTAATGTACACTTGTTTTATAGTAAAACCTATAGCCGTTCAAGTATAAAAAAACACATTCAACTTTATTGAAATTTGAAGATTCATATGACTTATTTTAATTCTGTTATCTCCGAGGATGTGATGTAGAGCATTATAGGTACAGTAATCTTAACAGCTATCCAATTTCATTTAAAATTCTTTATAAATTTTGCACTAGTATATATAGACTAAGTAATTTGTTTTTCGTCTAGTTATGGGATTTTTTTTTAGAAGCATTTATGATTTTCATGTTTGTATTGACCACATTGCAGCAACATAGATATAGGTACCTGGCAAATCTTGCCTTGTTAGCATACTAGGCTCAAAGGGGCATACAAAAATTTCCATCAACAAGTGTCTGTTAAAATCATCTGTTTACAGTTTTCACTTTTAAACCATCATCTTAATAACTTTAGAAGAAGTGTCATACATATACATATGTATACAAAATTTAAAAACTTTTCAATATATATATATATATATATATATATATATATTGATAAAAACTATCAACATGACAAGATCTAAATACCCAACATTTTTCTGAAAAATTGGACATAACATCTATGAGCTATTGTCCCTGAAATGTGTAAATTTACAAATTTTCACAGTTTTCTGCTACTATCCGACAACTATATCAATATATTATAAGAATAAATTGCAAAAGTGGTCAGAAGAAACTTTTTTTTTACAGTCTGAACTTATTCTGAATTGTTTAACTTCTAATTTAAATTGATTGCGTTTGAAATATGTGTTTTTTATCGTTTTAGGTGCACAATTTGTCAATACGATCTATTTCGGCTCCTGGGAGCCTCTAGATTTATAATGAATAATTTGTATTTATGTATGATTATTTTCTTAATGTATTAAATGAAACATTAATTATTCTTTTCCATTTGTTGTTATACTTATTTATAAGTCCAGATCCTATCATATGTCAGTAGTTACAAATTAGACGGCAAAATTGAGAAAATTTGAATATGCAGGTTACCCCATTTTGTTGTGGCATATACCAGACACCAACATTATTTGCCGAGCTTGATATTTTTTTTGATTGGGTATATATAGTTATACTTTGCAAGTAGATGTGTTGTTTTACAATAATAAACGGGTCTTGGAGTATTTTGGCTCTGAAAGATGACCAAAATCAGCCATTTTGGACATGTAGCTAAATAAGACATATTGAAACAGTTAGATTATACATACACATAATAGACAGCATTGTTAATTCTATGCATTCTTACACTTAAAGTGATGTATTACTAGGAACAACTATCAAAAAATTATAAATGTTACCATACTTTTTTATTTAAACCAGCGAAATATGCCAAAAAAGGCTTATTTTTGCTGTTTTCGAGCAATTTCATCTGTTAAAACATGGCGCTCAAAAAATATCCAGATCGGTTCAATATTTTCCCAAAAAAATGTGTGTGGTTATTTACATTACTAAGGTGCACCAATATGCCAAATATGAACTCATTTGGAAAGAGTGACATTCGGACGGTTTTGCATGGTTTTCTGGCAGATTGGCTCTTAAACATAAACTAGCAACAAATGTGCCAGATTTGGCTGAGACCATCTATTTCTAAGGGTAGAAAATGATAACTGGGCCGTAAGTTATTGTTACTATTTGATAACCTTTTAAATATTATTAACCAGAAAAGGTATCAAGTTGAGGACTATCTAACCATTAACTAGCAAGCAGATGTACCAGAGTCGACTGAGACCATTTATTCATGGGGATTTGCCAGATTCTACTGAGACCATCTATTCCTTGGGGTAGAAAATCATACCTGAGACGTAAGTTATTGTTACTTTGTGAATACATTTTGAATAATGGGTAATTTTTTTTTCGAATTAAAAGTTTGGTCACAAATTAAAAAAAAAAAAAAAAATATTAGCAATATTTATTTGAAGCAATTGTTTCATCAAGTTTCTGATGTCGCAAATGAATATTTTCAAATACCAAGATCGAACCTGACAGAAGGATTCTTACATCAGAACGAATTACAAATTTTGTAATTGATGTTTATATTAATGTTTCTTTTATTCTCTTTCCGAACTCAGTATCTGTAACCTTAATTAATTTCATTTGGACGATACGATAAGTTTATCACACGTGTTGATTGATAAGGGATAGGTAGCTGATAATGTTTTGTTTGAATTTCCAATGAACTAGGACTCACGTGTTCTTATTCTTAATGACTATTGTACACAAGAGCTCAAATATCTATAATGTTTATGTTTGAAATTGTTATTTCGCTAGTAACTCATATAATAATGCAAAAACCTTAGTAACATAGTCTTAAATGTTCTATGTTGTGTTTTGTATACTGTTGTTTGTCTTTTTGTCCTTTTCTTTTTTGACTTGGCGTTTTCAGTTTATTTTCTAATTATGAGTTTCAATGTCCCTTTGGCATATTTCGCCTCTCTATTACATAGGTAGCCAACACTGAAGTCAGTGATCATACCTGAAATATGTTTAAAAGGTAAAGTGTACCATTGTAATATTACATTTAAATTCTTGTACCTTTAATGATTATGTATTTTTCCTAATTTATGACCCGATTTAACAGTCATCATTGTGTACATTTAAGTACTAGTAGTAGATATACTTACAGATTGAATATAAATTAGATGAAAAAAATACACATGACACGAAAGTCTTTAAATATTGGCAGTCAAATAGATGTTTTTAGTTACAATAAGTTATCATCTGCCGCATATTTCAACATAGAAAAGGGAAATATGCTTACATTTTTCTGAACATGTACGATTGATATTAAAGTTCATATTCCAGTCCCATTCAGAGGTAAAGTAATTATTATATTACATACACAATTGAAAGAAATAAAGTGTGACCGATTTCGATGATGATGATGATGATGATGATGATGATGATGATGATGATGGCAAATTAAATGCTTATTCAAGGCGAGAACATGTTTAACGTAATGCAATATAAAAATGAGCCCTGCGTCGTACTTATCCAACACTCCGAGGCAGATTATTAACCTGCTAGTGTACAATGTAACAGTCTGCAATACATCTATAAACCGTAGTGCAAACTATTAATCATATTGTACACGTGCTTGTATACCAGCAAAAACAATAAATTATACATATCATTAAAAAAAAGTATGACAAAAAAACTCACCAAAGATACCAGGCTTAAAAGTTTGTACCTCAGGCGCTCGTTTAAAAAAGTCTCAATGAAGCTTGAATCAAAAATTAAAAGAGCCATATAAAGTACGAAGTTGAGAACATTGATGAGCCAAAAATAGTTTGAATTTCATTAATAAAACCTTGCATGCCATGTTTGTTTCCATCTGTATAATACCTTACACCTGTCCTACCTGGAACTACTGATATTTAATTTCGGAATGATAAAACATTTAAAATTTAGATTCGTATTTTTGATTAAAAATAAATGTGATTGGTTTAAATATCGTTTAGTATGTTTATAAATTGTTTTCTTTAAGCATTATCTATAACTATTCATCAATATATCAACTCCTTCCATTGCCTAAAAAACGACACTAGTCATAAAAATCACATCATAATATTGATGCTTTTAACCGAAATCAAAAGTTAATAACGGCAAATTTAAGTTTTAAACATTTGTCCATGAAATGTTATATACAATTATAACTTATTTCTTCATTTTAAAACATGTTAGAATCACTTTTTTCAAGAAGTCATCGAATGAATAGAACATTTCTACCACCAGTCTCCAAAGGGATTCTTAAAGTTGAAGACGGTATGTTGCTGTCTATATGTTTATTGTTTGTAGAATTTGGCTAGTGTGTAATGCCCTCAGATTTTGTTTTTCTCCTTCGCTTATGTTTTTGTCATCCCACTTTTGCTTTGTTTCGAGCGCCACTAATGAGACTTATGTCAGTTTTTACTACCACTGTTTCGATTGTACTGCTGGTGTGCGTTTCGTCACGTAGGGTATCACATCAGCCCACGCAGGTAGGTTAATGTTGTTCTAGAGTAAATCGGCTATTTATTCATAAAAATATCATTGAAATTTGAAATTATTTTGAATTTAAGTCTAGAAATTTTCATACCCAAAACTAATTATGATCATCCCTTATATCATCCACACTTTTAATTTCTGGTGTCTCAGAACTCCCCACCTCGTTACCATGGTAACGGGCGACATTCAAAGATGGCGTGTGAACCTTTAACTTCAAGAGCCCGGCACACCCCAAAGTACTATACCAATGAAAGAAAATCTTGGTATTCATGAGCTTTTAAAGAATGAATATGTCAAGTTTTAAAGAGATCAATAAATATTAATGGGGTGTGCCAATGCGATCTTTATAAATGAATGATACTCAAGTCCTTTTGCGGCGACATTTAAACACTGGAATGATTCAGATCGATTATTCCCCTTTATGGTATCAAAGTGCCGGGAAAGAAATAAATGACATTGTGATAGTTTTTGACTAGAAATGGACACATTAAAGATGTAAAACAATGTTATTTTTTCATTTTTATACTTGAAGGTGTTCACGAATCTTGAAAAAAATCACGGTGCATACGAATGTCATGAGGATGAGGGAAAAAAAGGGAATACTCTAACGTTATACTTTGTAAGATATTGTAATAGCTTTCGTAACCCCATGTTAATTTCTAACTCCACATATGTGCCGATTGTAAATAAAATTAACTTGGTTACTTTCTTAACTTCGATTCTCATAGGGTTTTTACGACTTTAAGATATGACCAAGGATTAGTAAGATTACGAGATAACGAACGACAAAAAAGTCTTTCTAAAACAACATGATTCTCCTGATAAGAAAAAAAAACACATTTAAATTTAACAAGCACTAGTGCATGATAGTATGTAGCCCCTTCTATCAAACTCATGTTTCATGAGAAATATTAATCTGCGCAGCCTTGATAAAGTTTTTTTTTCAATGTTTTTTTTTAAACAGTTTTAAATAGATAGTATGGAAAACCGTCACATGAAATGTGTAAATGGATCTTTTTTGAAACAATATCGGTTTAAGCTAGAATATCTAGAGCTATGTTCATTTGTTGAACATGCATCATTCATTCATTGCAGTCTCATGAATAGTAAATTAATATAATTTAAAAACAGGTCCATGCATTGGTCCAGAATATTATTAGGTCATGTACATGATGTAGGTAAATACAGTATCTATTGTTATAGAAAAAAAATTAAGAGATTTCCTTTAAGAGATGAAACTATTTGTTTTTTCAAAAAAAGTTGTATGCATGTGAAAACCATTACTTCTTCAAGAGTTCATTATGTCTATTTCAAAAGTTTCATAAAAACTAATGATAACTTTTCATTCATTTCAAATAGTTTTCTCAAACTTAATACCAAAAGCATTGTATATGTCACATTAAACTGAAAATCCTTATCATGCATAATGCAAACAATACTTTCTTGTGGTTTTCCATGATCCATTATAAATGTAGAAATATTTCATACTGCTAATTTTCATATGTTAATGTTGTACTGGAAAATTCATTATTCCTAAACTTGTCTTTTATTTCACATATAACATGCAAAGAATATTCCTATATACATGTAAAATATTGTGAATTACAATATATATACCAGTGAGTACATGGAGTTACCAGCCTGCCAAATATGATGTTTGAATTATAATGCTCACTCAGTTCACAGTTTTATATATATATCCAAAATTATCTCAATAACTGGCATATGATGAATACTGATATGAACATTTCCTTTTGTGTGTTGATCTTACAAGAAAGAAGTGCACAGTCATTTCCTCTGGTGTAATACTTTTATTTCTTTGTCTTCAATGTTCCAGAGTCAGTTTTAACAGTGATATAATCCTTCTTTTTGTTGTCATACTGAAAATTGCTTCATTCCAAAAGTCAC